CTGTATTCCTGAAAATAAGTTTTTTCCAGCTGCATTTGTTGACCTCTAAAAGATATTATTACCTTTTTCCACAGGCTTTATTTATATCTCTATGCTACTGCAACCACTGGAAGCCACTGGTGCACTTCTATTCCTAAGGGCTTTTTTTTCACTGAATAAGTATCCCAAAATAGGTGCAAATGCCACTTTAGTGGCTGTTTTTTCCTATGTAAGTTTTAGTGCCTTGTATATGGGTAAGTACATTCATATGTACTTTCACTATTTCAAAGGCAAATATGCATTTTCTTTGCCTTTTCTGAAGGCTGTAATTTTGCATTGTTTGTTATTATTTGAAATACAGGGTAAAATTATCCCGCCCCTGTTCTACAGGGATGATGAAAGATCAAATAAAATTGTAGTAATTAGTAAGCAGTGAAATGACCACACAATGGTTGTTTCCCAGGGATTTTTTTTCCTTTTTTTGAAAGGTGGTCTTGAATAAGTTAAGATTTACTTCTGGTAGATTTTATTTAAGAATTAAGATGTGGATAATCTAACAGCCTAGATAAACTACCAAGATGGTGAAAGGCCTCAGGGGCAAGATTTAGGAGAAGCTGCTGAAGTCACTTGGTTTGTTAAACTTAAAAGAGAAGACTGAGGGGTGACATCACATTCCACAACTTCCTTGAGGGGGCAGCAGAGGGGGAGGTGCTGATCTCTTCTCTCTGGTGACCAGTGACAGGACACATGGAAATGGTATAAAGCTGCATTAGGGGAAGTTCAGACTGGACATTAAGAAAATTTTCTTCACTGAGAGAGTGGTCAGTCATGGGAACAGACTTCCCATGGAAGTGGTCATGGCACTGTCAGAGTTGAAAAGGTGTCTGGACTATGCCCTTAGTCATATTGTTTAGTTTTAAGTAGTCCTGCAAGTGGCACTGGTCTTGATGATCCTTGTGGGTCCTTTCTAACTTGAGATATTCTATGATTGCACCTTTTTTTTTTTTTTTTCTGTGCATCTGCCACTTAGGACAGTAAATAAACTTTTGGTCTTAAGTGCCACAGGTTTCCCTATGTTTTGAGAAACAGTCCACCCTTTGTCATTCTTCAAGGTATGAAGTAAGGATTTAACAATATGAAAGAGTTTACTCTTAAAACTAGAAATCTTGGGTTTGTGTGACACTTGGCTATCTGTTAATTAGAACTTTCTAACCCCTTGTTTTGTCTGTAGCTAATATATTCTGCTGCTTTGCTGTGCACACTCATAAAAATCAATAAAAAAGATTGGAAAGTTCACTGCTGCTCTGTTCTTTCTGTGTTTGTTATGAATAACAATGTTTGTTCAGATAAATACTGGAATAATTGCAGACTTGAAGCACAGCCTCACTTGCACTAGAGAAAAGTACTTTAGAGAATTCTATTCAGTATTTTACAGAAGCTGACAAAATTTTAAAACTTATTTCACTGACAGTCTGAAAATTTAGTGCGTTCCACAACAGATTCTGAGGCTTTTTTTTGAGAGGTTCATCAAAGCATCAAAATATGCATTTCTTATCAAAATTGCTGATATGAGGAGTCAAGCCTTAGATATAGCCATGTTCACAAGCTTATGAAACTCCACAGATCTCTTAAGCGAAAATCTTCTTTTCTTGTTGAAAGTTTAGATGGGCTCAAGGGGATGCTAATGATATATCTTGAAGATGAGTCTACTGAGGAATATTAAATACATAAAATCACATCTGTCTCAGGAAGTAACCTGAAGGTAATTGCAGTGTGGATGATAGCAGAAGCAGGTGTTGCGTATGCTTGTCCTGTTCTTACTCTTTGCTGTGTATCTATTCATGGCTGCCTCTGCTGGAAGCAAGGTGCTGATATGGATCAATCTTTGTTCTTTATGAACAGTTAAAGGAAGATGTCTCACTCCAAGTGTTATTGCATTCTCTTGGAGATCGGTATGCCTTGGAAGAAAGAACAGGCCAGAAGATTTGAACTGCTGATACTGAAATGACCACCCATGCTTATTTTATTATGAAATTCCCAGAGATTCACTCACCAGGACAAACCTGTTTGTAATGCTTCATGTGATTCATAGATTCTTTTGGCTGGCAGTGTTAACTCTTTGGTTGGGGACTAACACAATTTTGCTTTAATTTAATTTAATTGCTTTAAAGGGATTTGTTCTTAAAATGTTCATTTATGCTTCTTTTTCATGGGTCTGAAACTCCTAGAGGTTATTTAATCTTCAACCTTAAGAGTTTTACTAAGAAAAAATTACAGTTTTGATAGTGCCTTCAGATTTGGTAGATAAAAACATTCATAACTGTAATCGTAAGTGTTGCGCTGCTATGGATGGGATCACCAGTGACATTTCCTTTCAATAGTTAAAAGCAGCACTGATACCATGAAACAGATTTTAAGTTCATCATATGTGTTATAAAGTTGGCCTAGTATATACCAGATGATATTCACTGGAAGCCTAAAGAACAGTTACACATTGTCTTTCAAAGGTGTCTTCTTTTTATTAATTTGGATTTGTCTTGTCCTGTTTAAGGTTCTTGAAGACAAGCAGTCTTGTGTCCTGCAGGTTGATAAAGAGGACCTTATGTCTTATTTTGTCAAGGCAGTAAACACTTTCTTCCTCGAAAAGGGGAAATAGATGTTGGTCAATAATACGTTTTTTTCTGTTGCTTTTAAGTTACTAATTGAATTTATTGATACTGCTTGAAAGATCCTTAGATTTAATCTAGCTATTCCAGATTTCCTTCCATTGCTACCCTGCAAAGTCTTCTATCTACCTAACTCCTGCCTTGTGTATAGTCACAGATTGATCAAGTTTACTGCATATTTTCATTCTTATTTTATGATGTTGTGTGAATTAATTTTGAAGTGCCACTTTCCTGGGACGTGTCTACAGCAAAAGGGTGTTGGCAAAGATTCTATTTAGTGTTAGACTGGGCAAAGTTCTGATCTGGAAGGAGGACAGTCGACCTGCTGTCCTGAGGGGAAGAGTTTTGTACTGAAGTCCTGGTTCTGAGTCTCAGATGCTGCTGGTAGATATAAATACAACTGCTTATTTAGATATGATGGCAGAATACCAAGTTTTTAATGCATTTGATCATGTGAAAAATAGCATCAGCTCTTCTATTCTGCATGTTCTTGTTCGTTTTAAAAGTGGTATCTCCTTTTGTACTACAGTGGTGCAGTGATTGTTGATTCAGAAGGAAAGGTTACCTAGTAAACCAGCAGTTGTATTTGCTGTGTCTTGTGTTCAGAGCAGCTGAACAAGACCAGACCTTCTTAACTTCGTGTGACAGCAACCCAGATTACAGTATGAGATTGAAAGACTACAAGCTTCATCTTTTTAATGTGACGCTATTGTGATTGCAGCTCTGACTGGGAAACTGCCAACCTTTTGTGTGAAGGACACAGACAAATAGTGGAAATTAGGAAAAAACCCTCCTATTCCAGACTTTTTTTTGTCCTGACTGCGATGCTTTCTGTATAAGTGTGTAAGGTTTTAAAAGTAGTAGCAAGGCTTTATGGTAGTCTAGAAAACAGGTCAAAGCTATGTTCACTCTAAGGACACTTCCACTAATGCACAGGCTTGTGATCAAATATATGATTCCAGTTGGGATGAAGTTTGGCATTTATTTTAATCTTTGGAATACTGTATAGAAACTAGCTGTGTTTCTGCTGAGTGTGTGTCGGTAGGTATATTTATATATAAATCCTGTATTTTTCCATGCAATTACAGTATGGACTGTTTTACAAATATTGGAGTTATTAATACTGGACCGGTGGGATGCCAACTGAAAATGCAAATTTTTGCCTTTTTTGTATGGTGACTGAACTGAATTTCTGTATTTCTAGTCTTTAAAAGGTTTTGAAAAGAGAGAAAAAGAAATGCTCCAGTTAAATATGGATATACTAAAATTATTTTTAGGTAGTCAGTAGGTCACTGATTTGCAAGTGTTGTACAAACGAGAAAAAGTTATGTCTTTACCTCCATTCTATTAATTAAATGTGCATGAACAATTCATATATGTATTTTAAACACTTTAGTGATTATCAATGTCCATATGGACTTGTGAGTCTTCTTGTATGGCATTCACTGCAAGATGAGTTTTAAGTTGTGAATACCTTATCTGCTGGTCAGAACTTCTGTCCAACACTAGGCATAGCACTTATGAAGAAAATACATATGAAAAAATTATGACAAATGCTTTTTATTCACATATTCTTTGGTATTTAGAACCTGCTTTTGAAAGAAACCCACTGTTGTTGTTGTCCTTTTTGAAAAGTGTGCGTCATTGGCATTATGTTGGATTTCGTAAAACTAATCTTTAAAAATAAAAAATGGTGATTTTTAAGATCAAGGGGTAAGCACCTTTATCAAACAAGATTAACAATTCTATAGAAATGCTTGAAAGGGATTTATTCTCTGTGTATAATCCTTTAATGATACTCTGCAATACAAATTCATCAGAAAAAGTATGAACTGGTTTTTGTTTCTAGCATTTCAAAGGCAGCTCTTTCTCCAGAATCCTCATGAGCCACCAGAATCTGGGTTGATTTGTAGACTAAATTTTCTTTTCAAAAACATAAATAGTACATCAGATCATTAATAAGTGTAACAAAGGTCAGATCAGGGTTTTCAGTCACATGAATTATGAACTCTTTTCCTGGAATGCATGTGTACAACCAGGTTGAATACAGAAACACTCAGTGATGATTTCATCATAAAGTGCATGAGAGGTAGCAAGAAAATACCAACAATTGTCTGTTAAGTGCAGATATGAGGTAAATATTATTCCCCTTTCTTTACAAAAATAAAAGCTTCTTCTCATATTAGATATGGCTTAGTTACATTTGTGATGTGTTCTTGCATTACTCCAATAGCTTACACACTGAAAGGGATTTTCAAGGACAGCTACCTGCAGTGTTTACACTTTGCTCTTTTGAAATGTACCTCCAGAACTGTTAAGTGTTCTATTCATTTTTTATGTTTGTTTTTTTTCCAGACTGATCTCGATTATGTTAACAGTGTTGTTGCAAGCCTGGAAAAAGAGTAAGTTGTAGTTTTATGGGGGGGTTCTTAGCTTATTGGTGGGTTTGCTTTTTGATTTTTCTTTAATCAGGTTGTGATAAGTAATTAATAAAAAAACCTCTAGAAATAAGAGATTATGCCTTTTTGTTTCTTGGGGCTTTGGACTTTTGAACAAAAAAGTAATAGATGACAAAGTAAGAGACAGTGATTCAGTCAGTTAAATTGTAGAACAGTAAGTAGTATTAAATTATTTGGTGCAGCATAAACAGATTTATGTTTATGTTATGTTTATTTTGTTTTAACATTAATGGAAATTTGCAACACTGTGTTAAGGCCTTGTATTCCATATGTTTAAAGAGATCTGTAGAAAAAAAATCACTACGTAGTGAACAAAGAAAGGCAAAAGAAATGCTTAGGATGTAGTTTGATTCTGATTGGTGAGAGGTGATAGTGCTCTGAAGGAGATGCTGAGGAAAACAGTACCTTTTTATATACTGCTTCTGTTTTACACGCCTTGTTTGAATAAGTCGTTTTTGTAACCAGACACAATAACTGTACCAACAGAAAGCAAGGATGTCTGCAGAACTCAGAATCTCTCATGTGACTTTAGAATGTTTCTATTGACAGATTTTCTACAGAGATCAATTCTGGCTTGGTGGAAGTAATAGCCCCTCCTGCATCTTACTATCCTGACTTGACAAACTTGAAAGAGACATTTGGAGACTCAAAAGAGAGAGTAAGGTAAGTTTACTCCTCCAGATCTTTTCCCATCTCCTCCCACACCCACACTTTCATTGTTTATAAAATGGCAAGTGGGATGTGAATTCTTGAAATGTTTTCTTACTGTAATTCTTGCAAGTGTGGGGATGCTAAAAGTGCTCTGTGAATCCATCTCATTCCAGCTGATAGTGTTGTTTTGTGCTTGATCAGAGCCTATGCTTGGATGTATTAATTTAGTGTTAAATTTTGGGAGGAGAACTGAGATTTGATGTATTTTTATTCCTCTATGAAGACTCTTCTGTTTACTGTTTTTCTTCCTGAAATACTTCCAGTAAAACCCAGTAGTTCCTGCTGAGTTGCCAATTAAAATGCACATGTGTTTTTAGTGAAATGCCAGGTAGCTTTCACAAAATCAGATTCAAATTAAACCAGTTTTATGTCTATATTAAAGCATAAGGTGAAAGCTTTGTTCCTTTTTACAGGCAGAGGATTTCCTGTGGGAACAATGCCAAAAGCAGCTGTCCTAACATTTCACTAATATGCCTCATTCTTCATAGTGAGATTTACTTTATATTGCCAGTGTGTATTGAAAACCTTTTTTCAGAAACCTTAAACTTTTGATTTAATTTCAGATGGAGAACAAAACAAAACTTGGATTATTGTTTTCTTATGATGTATGCCCAGAAAAAGGGAGTTTATTACATTCAGGTAAATTTCTTTTCTTTATTTTGAGACAAGTTTTAAAATGAGTTTCCAGAAATTACGCTCTTGGACACATCAGAAAGACCTACACAGAACAAAGATAACTTGATCCCATAGTTTAAGGAGGGCATTAAGTATGGTGGTTATGGTGTATGAGGAAGTAACTTGAGAAGGACGCTGTCTCACAGTCTCTGAAGGAAAAAGTAATTTGTCCTATGTGACTTAAGATGCTTAGCAAAAAAAGTGAAGGAATCCAAACAGATTAACTACTCTTTTTTCCTTGTCCCCCAAATGAATTATTGTTGAGTTGCCTAGGCAAAAAAATGCCAGCATAGTTTTTAGTGGAAATCAAGCAAAAATCCATTTTTTACTTTCTTTTGAAGGCAAGTGCAGTGTCACTTTAATATGACTGAGTATAGACACATTTTCTTTTTTCTTTTTTTAAAGAGGTTTCCAAGAACAGAGTTAAGCAGTTCTTTAATTTGGCTCTGAATTGTTCCTATCATGTGTTTCTGCTTTGAAGTAGAAGTCTTACCTACAGGTATTGTGGATTTAGTAGCTGCTCTAATGATCTTTATTTAGATTTTGTGTCTGTGTCCTTGGGGTGTAAAGTCCCACACATCTCGTCTAGTTTTCATAAAGCTATGCTGACTCGTCTCTCAGAGCTCTTGAAGTCTCAGCTGTCTTGGAAGCTGTGCAGCCAACAACATGAGACAGTCTTGTTTGATACTGAATATTAATGCCAGCACATGGGGGAGAGCATGAATGCACTGGGAGAAAAGACAGGAAAAGCAGGGTCCTTAATGCCTGCACTTACGAATTAAAGGGATTGTAGCACCCCATGTTGGCAGTTCTGCTGCCTGGACTAGGTGGTTAGTTTATTCTATGCACCTGTGCTTTTATTGGACAGTTAAACCCAGGTGAAATGAATCCCATTTCTGTAGACAGTGTCTCTGCTTCTTGTCTCAGAGGAGAAACTCTTTCAGTGCTGTTAGGTTTGTGAGGAAAGAGAGTCATGTTTGTGTACAAGTAATACAGATATTCTGCTTGTTCTCCTGAAGATGTCACTTAGACTGACATTATTTCATGGATAATTTTTCTCTGAAGAAAGAAGGTGGAAAAGCAATGTTCTCAGCTAAGAAGTTGAGATATGTTTGTGAATTCTTACTGCAGAAGGATTCTGTATTGGTTCTCCACAAAGAGACAGACTGATCCCTACAACAGCTATTCCAGTGCTAGGATTAGACATATATGGCTCTGTGTTAACAATATATGATAAATCAGTATTTCCTAACTGTACTTTTTCCTATGGCTTTGACGAGGCTTTTTTTTTTATTTATGTTGATATCACTGCTACCTTCCTCTAGCTTGAAGATGACATCGTTGTCAAGCAGAATTATTTCAGCACAATAAAAAACTTTGCACTTCAGCTTGCTTCTGAAGATTGGATGATTCTAGAATTTTCTCAGCTGGGTTTCATTGGTAAGAAAATGTTCACTTTTATGTAGTTTGAAATAACACATTCATCCTCAGACTGTAAATGAATAGTGATCTGACTTCAAAGCTATCTTCTTTGTACTGAAAATAGACCAAGAGGTAGAAATTCATTGATTTTTTTAGGATCTCTGGTTTAACTTATAGTTGTTGGTTTGGCCCCTCATTTGTTTTGTATACTTTTGTATGACTGAGGCAAATTCAAACTGTTGGAAAAGAGGGCATTTTTATAATGAAAAGTTAATTAATTTATGAAAATACAGTCGAACTGCAAGGCATGACTTATTTTGAATTTAACTAATGTTAAAACAAAAATGTCATTAAAACACAACTGACTGAAGTAAAGAAAAAATATAGAACTAACTCCTCCTAAAATAACTTTGTTGATGTTAGTGCCAAAATTTCCAAGAATCAGCAGGCGTCAGTTGGTCTTTGTTGCAAAGCCTGCTCTATCTCCATCTTTTTAACTCATCGGGGAGAAGTTATGACAGTCTGCTTCTTCCTAGATGTGGCTGGAGTCTGCCTGTCATTTGCAATGAGCAACAGGGACAGAAGTTATGCAGGATCTCAGGTTGTTGTGGATTGACTGCCAGGGTGCTGTAGAAATTACATTATGGTTCTTCACTCTTACACTAACATGTTTTATAGAGAGATAATAGACTTGAAAGCAATGAAAGAGAAGTTTTGAAGGGATTTTACAAATAAAAAGGTTATTTCTTTACTGCAGTGATGTATCATGATCTGTTTAAAAGCGATAAGCTGGGAGATACAAGAAATTCTTGTTGTTCTCTTTACTTTGGATCTACTTTCCAGAGAATAGTTTCATTTTTAGCTCAGTGACCGATAATGGTCATACTGAGAACTGAGAATGCTGGCACTATGTGAATAAATACTGTCCTCTTTCCAGCTCAGCATTAGGTGTGCAGTAGTTCCCTGACTTTCAGGGTCTCAGGGGCTCCTGGAGTAGAAAGGAAAAGAGTAGTTATCTCTTATACATGCTATTTTGGGGTACAGAATGGTACTTTGTACACTTGCCTTCCAGTCAAACCTACAGAAACAATGGAGAGGAGGAGAGGAAATGGGCAGAGTAAAGTCTCCTTATATACCTGACCATCACATAACTAATCTGTTTTGTTGCCTTGGGCTATGATCAGAGATGCACTGTTGCTGAATAAATTATGGGACTGGTTTTGTCACCCGAGAGGTGGGAGAAATAGGAAATGAAACTGCCTAGTATAAAAAATTTAAATAATTTGCTAAAGCCTTTGCCCTAAATAGATTTGTCTCTTGGGTTGGGGAGCCCCATGCAACATTCTGTTTGTGTCAGCAAAGACTGGTTGAGTACTGGCATCTGATTAGACTTTGTTTCTACTTTTGAACAGTTAAACACTAACCCCAACTAAACCCACAATTTGAATTTTAGCTCCAGTTCTAATTGCACTTCAAAGGAAAATTCTGTTCCTGAGCTGTAGAAGTAATTTACAGTTACTCTACATTTGCTTGATTTGGTAGTAGAGCGCAGTCACAAATTGCCATTTGGCAAGACTAACATATCAAAATGTGCATAAAACAAACAGTTTAGGACATGCACTGTCTACCCCATGCAGTTGTATTTCAGATCACTTAACTTGCTTAATATTTGTGTATTTCACACCCCTCTCTGTTCTCAGTGCTGCTGTAGAGGGCACAATGTCTAAGCCAGAAAGACTAGGTAGATAGTTCTTAATATTGAGACTTGGCTTAATCAAAAACACAACTGTTTAAAAATATCTTGTTTTTCTATACAGTTTATATACTTGTGGTCAGTGTGGGCTCTGAAAACGGCTGTAGTTGTTAGCTCCTGCTGCTTGCATCCCTGTTCTTTTTTCCTTGTATCATATTTGTTTGCCTCTTTTTAATTAGATGATATCAGTAGAATTTCAGATGCATTTAGCTATGGCTACACATCTTAATGTTGCTTTTCTGCCTAGAAAATTAAATTAGATTTTTTTCTTCTCCCAATTTAGCTACTTATCCTGCTTTTAAGTTTTGAGAGAAGAATTAATATTCATGAAAACAACTAAAACTTTTGGCTTTGAGACACATTGGTGTGCTGTAACCATGTATTGCATGGAAATTTTATGCAAGTAATGTAGATTTGCCTCATCTCTGATTTCCCTTTATGGATCTTGATGCAGACTGATACTATGGTTATTTGGTAATGCACATAGCTATGGGGAAGAGCAAAAGTAGTTTGGGGATGAGTTTTATGCATAAATGTCTAAGAGAGAAATTAGAGCACCAAATTCATAGAATGGCCTGGGTTGGAAGGGACCTTAAAGATCACCTAGTTCCAACCCGTCTGCTGTGAGCAGGGACACCTTTCACTAGACCAAGTTGCTCAGAGCTCCATCCAGCTTGGCCTTGAACACTTGCAGGGATGGGGCATCCCCAACTTCTCTGGGCAACTGTTGCCTAAATGTGACTGATTTTGAAATAATCTCTAAAAAAGAGAGGTGTGGCTGATTCACTGTAAGCTATTGGAAACCTTGATCAGCTTGCAAGTTTGCTAGATAAAACTTTTTTTGTCATGATGTATTTCTGACCTGAAAATTTAATTTATGCAAGTGCTACATGAGAAAGTGGCAAATGTAGCTATTTAGGCTGACAACAGGATTATAGAATTCTGTCACCTCTGCCACAGAGCAGATGTTGCTTCCTTTGGTTTTTTTTAATAGTGAGAGCATAGTCTTAAGTGCTGTCAAGTATCTAATAAATAATGTGTGAGATGTATGATGTTTCCCTAAGAAGCTCTGTGGAAGAATATGCATCTTTTGCTCCTCTGGATTCTGGTTTGCACTGTGGTCCCTGTGACAGAATGTAGGAAAGTCCTACTAGCTTTTTATGAGAAATATTGATTTATCTTCCAACTGCTTGAGAGCTGAAGTGTTTTCCAGAGAAACTGCAATACTCTGCACTGTTTCTATGCCAGCTGTCACAAACAGTTAATGGAATGGTCTGAAATCAGCCTTTACATTGTCTTATATAGTTCCTCTGAGTTCTTACTGTGCCCTGATGTTTTAAGGCCTGTTGTTCTGAGTATTTTAAGTTGTTCTGATTACAATTTTGCTCAAGCTGTGCACATAGTTGAAGTTTGGGGAAGAGTAGATCAAGTCATACATTTGAGCTTTAAATAACTTCAAAGAAGTTCTGGTTTTAATGCCAGTAATTTGCATATCATTAACAGGGAAAGCATCGAAAACATCAACTATAGTTAGAATATGTGCTTATGGGTATAAATTATTGTTGGTGTAGACTCAGTGCATGTAATTATTTTTATGCAGAAGAATGAAAATGAATGATTTAGATGTTTGAAGTTCAGAGAATTGTAGCAAACAAAGTGCTTTATTTTAAGTATGTCTTGTACTTATCAAGAATACTGAGAGGGCCAGAACAGTTCACTAAGGATGGCATTTAAATGGACTGAAAAATGTATAGAAGTCTTGGCAGGGCTCAATAAATAGAAGAAAGTAGTCCACAATTATTTTTTTCCACTCCAGGCTCTCATTTTTATCAATAAATTATATGGAGAATGTCTTCTACATTTTGCATATCTCTAGGGGTTTATGGAGCAAGATTTTGCCTTTGAGTCTTAATTCCTTTGGATTTTGAAGTTTCTTTCCAATGGTAGGTTGTATGCATCCAGAATCTGCAACCTATGAAATTTTGTCAGCAGTCTCCTGGATTTATGTATGTTCCCATGTACTGTACCAGTGCACGAACACACAGCAGGATGAGCCATTGCTTTGGTTGTTGTCTTTGGTTTGAGACACTGCATGTTGACTGCAGTTTTTTGCTTAGGTCTCTTTGGCTTGATGATCTTTGACTACCTATTGGGGGTGGCCAGTGAGCATTCTGTAGCCTAGATTTGGATGGCATCTCAATGGTTCTGTGGCTCACATGCTGCTGCATGGGAGGCTGCAAGACTGAAGGACCTTGGCAAAGGCTGCTGCTTGTTCTTGGGCTATGGCTATGCCCTAGGGAAGCCAAGCTGCTGCTGCTCTTGCTTAGAAGAGACTAAGGAAGGGCTTGGCTTATTTGGATTCAGAGGGGTTTGGGTGTTGGATCTGTGGAGTAGGAGTTATACTGGGCTACTTTCTATCACAGAGGCTAGCTGTGGACTGTCAGGGTTCCAGAGTTTTGAAGACTTGTTTTGCCAGAGACTTCACTGAAGAGCTCTGTTTTTAAGCTGCTGTAGGAAGTGTGTTCTGGAGAAAAAAGGGGAAAAATGGATCTATGGCAGAGCTACTGTGATGGTGGTATCTTGAGACAGAAATGACGGATGAGGAATGCAGTGTTACACAGAAGGATAAGGGACCGTGGCAAAGCTGTGCCAAGCTGTGTGGAAGGTGGTGACAGCATTTCAGAAAGTAATGTGTGGATATCTGTCCTTGGTTACTGAAGGGAGACAATGGCATGTCTTGGGGGCAGGGTGTTGCCTGTTCATCTTCGCTCCAGTGATCATTAGAAATTAATGTGAGGTGGCTTTGTCTCCACTGCTGAACACTTCCATGGTGCTGGGCAGTGTAATGCAGAGAGGCCACTGAAGATGCAGGTACAGTGAGCTGATGCTTACTGGTTTATTCTGACTAATTGTAGTTGGATGTATCAGAGTGGCTTGGGTTTTTTTGTTTGTTTGGATTTTTTTGCGTGGGGGGGTTTTTTTGTTGTTGTTGTTTGGTGGTGGTTTTTTTTGTTTGGGTTTTTTTTATGGTTTTGTTTTTTTTTTTTCCTGGTGTGTCCTATAATATCACCATTATTCCTGAAGTCCTGGGTGGTTGACTGCATGGTGGACAGTAGTGTGCTGGCCTAGAGAAAGGTGCCTCTGGGCCTAGACTAGTTTGCCCTATGGAAGTAAATTATTTGTTGATACTCTGTTTCTATTTTAGATAAAGTTAGGATAACTTAAATTAGGGGAAAGAGTAAATTCCTACTCTTCAGTTTTGTTCTCAGTTTATTTAATTGTAGGTAAGGCTCCTGTACCTTAACACTGAGTTTTAAGCTACATGGTCTGTGAGTGATGACAACTAAAGACTGTAATCCTTGTGCTCTTCAGAAGATGAGCTAGTCAAAGGAAAAAATGTCAGTCTGATTCTTTTGCTCTGTCCTTGGGACAAAGAAGAAAAGGATTCTAGAGCAGCCTGATTGTGTATAGATTCTGGAAGAGGATAAACTGTCTCTTCAGTCTGCTTGCATTGAGATTGGAGCACTACTGTGGGGATGTTTCTGTCTTCTGAGTTGCAGGGTATTGTGCATCTCTCTGACACCTCATGGGAAGGTCTACTTCCTATGGAAGCAGATGTGACTGACAGACTGCCTCAGCAGGTGCCATCTAGAAATGGTGGTTTCAGTCCCATAAACATCACAAAAACATCTGATTAGGCCCATTTTTCAGCTGGTGTTTGATTAGGGTTTATCACATTTTTCTGCCCTATGCCATTGAAAGCAGTAGGCAGAGATGAATCACCAGGAAAATTGGGAGCCTGTTTAGTTGGATGTGTGACAAGCTGAAAGCTGTTATTCTGCATGAATATTTTGCACAACATTGTACAAATCATATGATTGTTTCCTACCCATTTTTAAATATTTACTTCCACAAATAATGTTTTTAACAATATGACAACATAATGTGTAAATAGTAACAATATACTAATAAAAATCATAACATCTTTCTTAGGTCTTTTAAGAATAAAGCCTTGCAATTTTCCCTAGTTTTTAGTAGAAGTTGTCCCTTGTGTAGTGGGAGCTTCAAATTTTAGTTACAGCGTATTTTCAAGTGGAGATACCTATTTGAGAACCTCATTGCAGCAACCACTTACAAGTGATGTCAATGTTTTGGCTTTATAAACAGCCAAATTAAAGGTTTCTGTAAGTGACAATTTTGATTTAACAGTGTCAGGTCATTTATTGTTTTACCACATTTACTTTTCCACCCCACTGTGTCACTTTATGAATCATCATTCCAACATATGAAATAATTGGCACTTTTGTCAGATGCTTCCTCCATATTTGTTGAACTGCATCATGTTGTAGCCTCGCTCAGACCCCTCCAAACTCATCTCGGAATTCCATAATAAGTATCCTTTCATTGGCTATGTTCTTAACCAATTTCACACAAGTCATAAAGAAATAAGGTCGCATCAGACTTGTTTTCTGGAAAGGGCAAGGCTCTTTAGGTGATCTTCTAAGTATCTATTCCCTTTTTAAGAAGATGAAGGATCTTGCAATTCAAGATCCTGGCATTCTCTAAGCAAATCCCTGTAAGGGTCTGATACCTGGTAGTGTCGGAACACACACAATGGGGCTGCTGCAAATTTACTTTCCCTTAAAAATGTGGTTGTTGCTAATACATGTAAGCTAATAACCCAGCATTCTATATCTACTCTGATATTTTGTATAATGTGCCAGGATAAGTCACCTGTTCTGGTAGAGAAATGTTCCATCCCTGTTACAACAGAGATTTGAACTCCCAGCTCCTTGTGCTGTCTTATCTTAGCCTTCTGTGAATTACAGATTTCAGTGAAGCCTAAAAGAAAGAGAAGTAACTGAATGTCTGGCTCTGAATGATAGTCATGTACAGTCACAGTGAAAATGTATGTTCCTAATCACTAAAGCCTAGATAACTTTTCAATTTTTGTGTAGTTCTGGTTCAGGATGATACTTCAGGTATATCCTCTCTTCTGTTCATGTAAATGCGAACATCCTCCTTAATGGCTTGGTAAGATAGACTGCTTGCACCATTTCTTCACTTCCACTCAGCCACCTACTCAAGTAGAGTGCTACACTGCTGACAGCTCTTAAGCTTCATATAAAATGTTGTTCCCTATTTGCTTGTCATCCAGACTAGCCTATACGGCTCCTCAGTGGCCTTTCCAGGTAATTTTGTCCTCTTGTAGATGAGAACAGAATCCCATTTTCTGATGAGTGTGGGAAGTGGTTTGGGTACCTGAGAGGGGAGTCTGTTCTTAATGTCTACTCCATCTGTTTTTTCTAAGAATAGGAGAAACTTTTAGAACCTCTACCACTTGTGGAACTTGTTATTTAGAAAGCCTATGGAGGTCTCCTCACAAGTGGAAAAAACCCCCAAAACATTTCTCATACCTGAGTACTGTTGTACAGGACTCTAAAATGTGGAGAGACAGAAGATGTGCATAGGAGAAGAGCTTCTGTTGGACTCTGATCCATTGATGCCCACATGCCCCAAGAACCCATCCCTGTTTAATCTAGCACTGCCCACATCTCAGCACCATCTGCAGAACTGAATCACTTCAGCCGGTGTCTTCCCAAGAGATTTATTGATACACAATGTCTTTCTTGCCTTCTCCATTGTAGCCTAGCAAAGTAGAGGCAGACTTCATCTGCAAACCTGGCGATGTTTTCTGAATCTGACTTTAGATCTGGAACTGCCTTTGGAATTTTAGCTGGCACGCATTCATGGAATCGTTTTGGTTGAAAAGACCTCTGAGATCATCAAGTCCAACCGTTAACCCAGCACTACCAAATTCACCAATTAACCATGTCCCCAAGTGCCACATCTACACATCTTTTAAATACCTCCAGGGATTGTGACTTAAGCAACTTAAGGCCCCTGGCACCCTGTTTCAATGCTTGAGTGCAGTCCCTGGTACAAGCACTCATCAGTCTGTTTTGCTCCTGGTTGTCTTCATACAAGGTACCTTTTTTTAACACAATAGCCCAGTGTGTTGGCCACCTTTCTCTTCAGACATCTGTACTGGCAGAGAAGTGTATTCCACAACCACATAGGTGGTTGTTCATGTTGATAGTAAATAGACTTTCTTAATCAACAGTGAGTTTCCTTCTTTTGCAAAGGCCTCCTTTAAGCCTCACAGTTTACAGGGTTCCCAAGAATCCTTTAGCAGAGTGCCACCCAGAATGGCACTGTGCTATGACCCAGAAGTCCTGCTGATGGCCTGTGCACTTCCGAAAAAAACTCTGGTTGCTGTGGGCTGTCTCTCTTCTATTGTGTTGTCTCTGGATATGTTCTGAAGTTTCCTTCTTTCCCTTTGATTTCCTGCACAGAAGGATCTGAAGTTAGTGGTAGGTGTTCCTTCTCTGCTTTTTGTACCTACAAAAACTGAGATTGTGTGACTGGGCAGATAACACTTGCAACAGCTCCTCATCTCAGATACTTGAAGCTTACACATGACATGGGGAATAGTAGATGCCAATCCATAAATCTTCTTTCTCTATTTTTGCAAACTGACAATTTCTATTCTTAAGGAAACTGTGTTGTAGAATACCTTGAATATTTTGATAGCACCAAGATCTATTACAAGTTCTTATTCTAATAGTTGTTTTGTTTAGTTGACAGTTATTGAACTTTTAATAACATTGAGATTTCAGGTTGTTCATTGCTAGCATTTCTTGTCTTGGCACAAATTTATCATCTGATTTCAAAAGACAATGTTATCTCTAATCTAAAGTAACTCTAGTTATTCTTAATGTCACCACAGGTAAAATGTTCCAGTCTCCAGATATCACTCTTATTGTAGAGTTCATATTTATGTTTTATAAGGAGAAACCTATTGATTGGCTCCTGGACCATATCCTCTGGGTGAAAGTGTGTAACCCTGAGAAAGATGCTGTAAGTTTGTTTTTATTATAAAACTTTTAAAATGTTTTTGTGATGGTGAATGAGTTGGTTTTTGTGAGCTGGAAACTAGCATAGCGTGTGTTACCATTACTGCATGTTCTGGGAGTCTTTCTTCCTGCCAAGATTTTTATCTCAAAAAGAACAGTTCTCAGAGGCTTATAACTGTTATTGCTTCAGATTTTGGACATGAGTGCAATAGGATGAAAAGCAAAAGTTTAGTTAATTTCTGTGTGTAACAGTGCTAAAATAAACTCATGTGTAACCACTGCTGAGGCTCTGCAGGATGTCACTGCTAGAATAGCAGTCTTCGAGAAGGTTCCAAATGGGGAATAAACTTTGGATTTTGGTCCTTCGTTTCTCAAGTAGCACCCTTGCTGAAATACTGAATAAACAAGTTCTGTGCGAGAACCTTGAACAGTGTTATATTTACACATCAGTCTTGGTAGATTTCTGGAATGAAAACAAGAACAACTGGATAAATAGGCCTAGGTTCTTACCTTGTGTTGGTTTTTACTAATGTGATTCTTTTTTTTATTCCACCCTTCCCTTTTTCTCACACTGTTTCAGAAACATTGTGATCGACAGAAATCTAATCTACGGATACGCTTCAGGCCTTCTCTTTTCCAGCATGTTGGCCTCCACTCTTCTCTAGCAGGAAAGATCCAGAAACTCACAGTTAGTAGCCAATATTTCCCTTCCTTTCCACAGCAGGCCAATTAAATTAAAAACTTTGTGATGATTGAGAAAACAGGCATTTTCTTGTTGTCTTGCATTTCCAAGCACAGTGTATATTGCTCCAGTTGGAATTCAATCTGATATTAACCGGTTACTATTGAATATAAGAAGTGCTAGTCTCAGCTAATGTGGGTTTTTGTTGGGGATATTTTTTCTCATTTTTTTACTTTTATGGCATGCTCATCTTACTAATCTGTACAAGATCTGATGCACCCAAAATGAGTAATGCATTCGTTTTCCATTTTAGGCAAATGTTTAAGTGTAGCCACTTTGGAAAAGAACATAATAAACAAGGTTATCTGACCAGCATGATGTTTGTCTGTCTTTCAATTAGGATAAAGACTTCCTGAAACCATTACTGCATAAAATCCACGTGAATCCACCTGCAGAGGTTTCGACATCTTTAAAAGTCTACCAGGGGCATACACTAGAAAAAACCTACGTAGGGGAAGATTTTTTCTGGGCTGTCACGCCAGTTGCTGGAGATTATATTCTTTTTAAATTTGACAAGCCAGTCAATGTAGAAAGGTTAGTAATTATTTGCCTTTGGTCTCATATATAAAGTTGCTTGTGCCAAGAATGTTTGAAGATAGAATTTGGGACTGTCATTGTAACCTAAAGTGAAATGACATAGAACATTTGGAGTTCAGCTGAAACTATGATCATTACTGTCTTCCCTCCAAATCTTTTACTACAGTAAGTTTTGTTTTGCTTTTTAATTTTTTTGTTCATTTAATCTGGAGCTTTTTTGATAAATGCGGTGCAAAACCAGCGCTTCTCTGACACTTCATAAGAGAATTTAAAAGAAGCCAATTTGGTTCTGCTTGTATTTGGTTGGTCTGCTTCTAATTACAGTGCAATTGTACAGCATGGTATGTGGTACAGTATGTTGTGCCCTGCGGCTTCAATCCCTTGGTTGTCCAGATCTGAAATCGTGCTGGAGCATATCACGATGTCCCCAGACCTGAAAGGTGGGAGCTCTGGAGGGTCATGTTTTTTAGATGTAGCTTTAGGGCTTGAAAAAAGTCACCATGCTGAGACTCCAAGTTGACCTATTTAAAAAACATTAAAATTGAACCAAAAAAAAAGGGAGAGGGGTGCCTTCAAAATACAAATATCTGTGATTTGTTAGAGGACTAAAAGTGACTTCTTTTTAGCTATTAGTTAGATTAATTAAGGATAATAGAGTTTGCACTGCAGAGATTAGTCATCCTTTAGTTTTATTGAGACTGCTTTGCTGCTACTGTCTTGCCAACATGGTAGTCCAAGACTTGGTTTATTTAATGTCTATTTAGGTGTTGCTATGTTAGTGGATTCCTTTTCTCCTTACTTTACATAACTTAATGCGTTCTTTTTGGGCCAATGCCTATAACCCTGTAGAAAAAGTTTCTTTGCATGAATTTAACTGGGTATTAAGGAGCCCTTTTTGCAGTCCTGAACTGAATACAGTTAGTCAACTTCTGTGCCTTGGTACATTATCAAAGGCTAAGTCTTCACCTTGGCTTAGTGCAACAGTGAGGATCAGTAGTTTCCTTGTTACTATGTTGTTCCAAACTAGTCTGACCTGTGAAACTCAAATTTGTTGTTTGAGATGTCAATTACTCTTTCAGTTGATTTCTATACTTTAAAAGACTTTCCCAGTTAGCTTTCCAAGATGCATGTGTTAAGGAATATGACTGCCATACCTCCTTGGACTAAAGGCAAAATATTTTTTTTAATCCTATGCCAATAGTTTAAAAAACACTTTGTTTTGATTTCTTTTTGATCACATTTTCCTTTTTAAAGTTACGAAGTAAATGTTGTCCATTTTGTTGTGTTTGTGTGGTGTTTATTTAAAAAAGAATCTATGTTCTGAATAGGGTAAGTGTAAGCAGCAAATTTTGATCTTGAGTGGATTAGGATGAGCCAAATGCTCAATGGCAATTTTGGAAAGCATTGCTAGCAAGTGTCATAGGTCAGCACTGTTATAAAAAATGACATGCACAGGTCTGAAGAGAAAAATTTTTGATACGTATTGCCTGAATGGTGGAGGGAACTGGGGGAATGAGTAAGTACTAATTATCTGTGCAAAAGGTGGGAAAATAGTGTTTATTGTTGTGCCCTGGAAAATTGTAGCTAGGCCTAAGGTAGTTAACGTCTACATGCTGTGTTAAGAACAGTCTTAGCAGTAGAGGATTATATCTTTTTTTTTATGCTATTATTTTGATTTATTGAAGAAATGCATTTTAGTTTTAGAAGAAGGGAAGTATCTTGCACTCTGTTGCTTTTTCAAAGCAAATCCACCAATTAGAATGGTGCTACCTGTTCAGACTTAAGTTTAAGGTTATGTGAGCTATCATTGCAAGCCATTTCAAAGTTTATTATGAGTTTTAACTTCTGTTGCCACAGTGTCCTCAAAAATACAGTATTTTGCCTTTCTGAAGTTAGTGACTGATTAGAGCTACAGATGTTTTAATTTCAAATTGTTGGGGGCTTGTTTTTGTTTGTCTACATAATTTGAACAGCAGCAGCAGATTTTTGCAGGTGAAGGTCTAATGGAGCAATGGTATTTCCTGATATTTCAAGGATGCTTGCTGAGGCAGTCAGAAATAAAACTGTGACTTGCAGGTTGAAACACAGAAAAGGGAAAATGGACCAAACATTACAAGACTTACCTGGTAGGAAAATACATCTGATAGTAGGAATTAAGAGTAGAAAATACACCTTTTATAGACATCCTGTGTCTGTGAAAGGATGCAACAAGTTGTTTGGGTTTTTTTAAGTAATAGAAAAGCTCTTGGAATTTAAAGAAAATTTTGTCTGCCAAGTCAGTTTGAGGTATAACTGCTTAGTAACTCCCATAACAAATTTTTGATGAAGAAGTTTTTTAATGGAAATATTGACCACAGCTCTGACTGAATGAATGGCAGGTCTGTTACACTGTGACAGAACGCTAACTTGTTCCTGTAGTTTATTTTTCCATGCCAAGTGTTTTGCTGAACTGAATTTGAGTTTTCTGCAGTTCAGTAATTAGCTTTCATTAAGTCTTTATTCTCAGATCTTAAACATAAATATTTAATGTCAGGAATAACACTGGCAAGGATCTCTTAATAGCTTAAAATGAGAACTGAGCTCACTTCACTGAGCAGAAAGCAACATGTGTGGCTATTTTATTCAAGACCTGGTTGGCAGATCCCTGCTGAATACTGAACAGTCAAATAGGTGGTTGTTTTTCTAAACCACACCTGGAGAATGTGTAAATTGAAATCTTCTAACAGTTATTTTAGTAACAAGCTCTTGCACTGAACCTTTTTAGTTTTTTTCCAAGCAAAAGATCTCCAGCCACAACACCAATGTCCCTTAATACTATGTTAGGGTCTCACTCTGGTTTTTGCAGTAAGAAAATACATACATTTCTTTTAGTAGCATATCCTTGAGAATGAAAGTAGATTGAAGGACTTTCTTCTTAAAAGCAAATTGCACAGCAGTGTTGAAGTATGGTTTGTTTTTGGTTTGTTGTTTTGAGGGTTTTTTTTTAAATAAATTGATAAATGCTCAAAATAGCCTACATTGTAAAGATAAGAAATACTGAATTTCTGTCCCTCCAGGTTGTTATATAATTATTGAAATCCACTTTGCTGTTTTGGTATGTACACTGCTGTTCCAAACACGGATTTAATTATTAAAACTGAGAGTTAAATTTAAGAGTTTCTTTATGAACCAGCCAAAACACATCTGAGAAAGATGTTCCATTGCAGCACTTAAGTGATAGTGGTGTCCATCATCATCACAGCCATTTCTTTTTTAAGTGCCTAAATTTCAGAGTCCTCCTTACGGATGTGATTGGCACAAATCAGATATGGTGTTCAAAGAACATGTGCACTAATTACTTGGAGGAAGCCCTTGGAAGTGCATAACCTATGACTGTTATAATTAGATTATGTTTACACTTGTCTGCAATAGAAAATTAGAATGGATATTTTTAAAAGGAGCTTCAGGTTTGCTTCAGTGTAAATGGGTTTCAAATGCTGATCTGTATTTTATAAAATAAGCTGAGGAAAGGACAAGTATGTATTTTATACCGTGGAAAGGAAAAAAACAGCAAAAAACAAAACTCGGCCTCACCTCACTAATATGTATATCTAAGTTTGCTTTATATTTTTAAAATATGAGGTTCATCATTTCTTGTATATAACTGCTTCACAGAATCACTAAATCATCAAGGTTGGAAGAGGCCTTCAAGATCATCTTGTTCAACCGTCAACCCAGCAGCACCATAATCACCCTAAACCATATTCCCAAGTGCCACATACAGACAGCTTTTGAACACTTCTAGAGATGGTGACTCCATCACCTCCCTTGGCAACTTATTCCAATGCCTAACCACTCTTCTGGTGAAAAAATTTTTCTGATACCTAATCTGAATCTCCTCTGTCTCAGTTTAAGGCCATTTCCCCTGGTCCTCTCACTGCAGGCACAGCAGAAGAGAACAGCACTCCCCCTCCCCCTCCACCCCCCCCCTCCCAGCTACAACCTCCTTTCAGGTAGTTGTACAGAGTAACGAGGTCCCCCCTGAGCCTCCTCTTCTCCAGACTAAACAGCTCCCCAGCTCCCTCAGCTACTCCTCGAGAAACTTATGCTCTAGACTTTTCTGCAACACTGCTTGGTAGTGTTACTTGGAATATTTTCAGAAGGATTAGCAGTTTCCTTTTTTGAGGGGAGGGGAAATCTGTTTTTTGTTTGTGGTGGTGTGGTTTTTTTCATTTCCCCCCCTTGTCCCCCAGCACTGCTTTTATCTCTACAGTTGCCTCATAGTTGTCCTCTTAGCATCTTACTGGGTAGTCATCCTAATGTCACATTGATTATTAATAAAATGATTTTATAAGGTAAAACTTGCTGACTGGAGTTCAGTTTTAAAGTGAAATCTTAATACTTTGACAAATCAGTTTGTAGATTACATTTACTACCCTGCGCTCTGTTATTGGCATAGATACTGAATGTGCAGTATTTGAGACTAATAATCTAATTTTCTGTATTGTTGACCCTAGAATCCCAGGGAACACGTGATGTTAACCTCACATGTATTTCCTGTGGCATCTTCTCACAACATAGAATTATCATGCAAGTCATGTTAGTCATGCAAGAAATATGTATTTCACTAAGCTAGAAAATTAATGTATTGAGTGTGAATAGGGTCTTGCTGAGCTTCTGGTAACTAAACATATACATTATTTTGTCTGCTTTGAAATTATTGTGACAGTGCTGAAAAATAATGTTACTTCATAAAAAGTAACAGATGCTTGCCTGGTATTTTGTAAAGGAAAATAAATGCAGCTTTTAAAACAGGTTCTCTAGCAGTGAAAAATAAAAGGAACTTTTTTATTTAAGTACAGCAAAGTTATAAATACATGCAGTCAGCCATGTATGCATCTAAAATGTAAGTATCCGTCCTATGGGATGCAAGTCCTGTGGGTAGAGCAATACTGGATGAAATGCATTACAAAGGAAAACAGACTTTCTAACAGCTCTACAAAAGTGTAAGTGGAACT